CTTTATAATTGTTCACGTACGTGTTAATTCCTGTACCATCAAGAGAGAAGTGCGCAGTGCCCCCCCCCCTTCAAGCGGAGCAGCGCTGAGACACCTTCTCTGAGGTGGAAACAGCTAAAATTTCGTGTTTAGTATACTCTGACCCGACATTACTTTTGCTTGGCTCAAAAACGCCCGGCGCTACAGACGCTGGCGCCACGAAAACGCTTGGCACTCGCCTCTCTAGCATAGGTACCAGGCGATTTTGCGCCCGACAACCACAGGGCGATTTTGCCAGATCTACCTCTGGAGGCAATATTCAGCGAAGTCGGCTTTCTGAAGAACCACAACTGTGCCTTGCTTCTCAGTGCTGGTGGCATGCGTTCGGAAGAAGTACCGCCGTCATGAAATCTTCCCCAAATCGAGACTTAGGCCAAAACATCTGAAAAATTGGTGCCGTGATGGATGAACAGCGTCGCATACCATAAATGGCTGTTTGGCTTGGGAGGGGCATTTTGTAGACTCGCTTGTCCATTTTGTTAGTTCATGCTAACTAACGGATCTCACTTCGGTCAGACTAAAGTTCTCTGAAGCTGCGAATGTTTTCGAGAGAGCCACTTCGGCAACAGGAACTTGCAGGTCGTTACAAGGTAGTCTGTACAAGCTCATGAAGCTGAGTACCATTCCCTGCCCCACCAAGCCGAATTGCGCCCATTAATTAAGCGGAACTCTGTGCAGTAGCTGCCCAAAAAGTTGATTCTTATTTCAGGACCAGCATAGCATTGACGTACTTCTCGATACAGCACTCATTTGCCGCAGTTCTAGTTTCGATGGGATTCTTTGCAAGTTTCGGTAGTAGCATAGCCTATAACGCTATTTTGACGACAGCTCAACGAGTAGGTTGTTTACTGGACCTAGTCATAGCCTAAATTTTCTTGCATTATTTAATTTGGCTCTTTTTCAGTGGTTCCCAGAAAACGTCGGATTAGCCGGAGGAATGATCGTTGGTGGATACGGTTGTGGAGCTTTTATTCTGTCTCCTCTTCAGACTGGCTTTATCAATCCGCTCGATTATCGAGTGAACAGCGACGGGTTCTTTACCCAGGAGGATCTGCTTGAAAGGGTTTGTTGGGCTCTTGAATGGGTTTTACTGGAAGTTCCACCTTCGGGCATTGATCAAGCGCTCCTCTAGTGCCACAAGTGAGGCAATGGTCACCTTTACGATTCCATCTGGTGCAATATAAATATGGTCAACGGCTTCAATCCTCCTGAAAGCTGGCATGAGTGGTCGCAACCCTTCACATAGTCGCCTTATGCCTATGTCAATAAACGCGCCTAGTTAGTGTTAATTGATGACCAGAAGTGGTTTCATGATCGTTTATGTAACACGAGAACCATAGACAATGACCATAATCAGCGAAGTGTCGTTGAGCCTGATCACTGTTCAAACACGCTTTCGATGGTTTGAAAGTAACTTCATAAGTCCGAATGGCTCTCCTTCCTCAGGTCAATTCTTCCTTCACGCTTCATAGAAAAACTACCCAAATAGAGTCTACATAACGACAACATCCTGCTTGGATATGAATTGAATAAGGTATTCAGGCGGCAGGAATAGCTGAATGGATAAGGGTGTAGATCCATGTCTGTATCCTCATTCACGGTTCGATCCTTGCCGAGGCAAAACCATGCATTAGAAAAACTGTAAAATGGTTCCGGCACCAGCCTCAGGCTCCAGGTTAACAGCCCAGCTCATCGAGAACCTAGTCATAAAATGCATGCCTAGAAGTCGCATTTTAGGTGGTAGTATTGTCTAAGGGATGTAGTGGCAAGTGGAACTGCTTATCATAAGCGCAGTCCCGGGATCAGAGCCAGTCTAGCCTGTCCCACATTTCATGTCGATTGACTGGTACTAGAATTGCTATGAGGATTAAAGCTTTGACGTAGGTGAAAACCGCAACTCGTTCTGCAGACGATTTTACATTGGAAATCACTGTGGCGCTGAAAAAAAGAGTAATACGTAGCGCATCCTAAAAAGGACTGCTTCATTCCAGAAGCCTCATCCCCTACGACTTCGTTTGTTTTGTAAGCCTTCCTTGCTAGAATCGAGCCAAAGGGACGTCAGCATGGATCGAGGCGAAATTACTTGATCTGTAAAATGAAGGGCAAGACAGAGTGGCTAGCCTCTGGCAAAGATCAATCTAAAACACGTACCACTGTGCAGTTAAACATAAGCCCTCAACAGCTTTTTCCAAGGTCATCACATGGGCGGACCCAGGCTTACTATTGAGCTTCCCTCACTGACATCACTCTCTTCAGATCGTCTTGAAAACAACAGTTGTTAAGTCAAGTGCAACAGATAGAGCGCTTATCCTAGCACCACTGCCAGTTTGGCTAAAATCATTTCATCTTCATCATTCCTATGTACGGGAATTTTCAGGTAATTAGCAGTTAATGATCATTCTCAGGTACCGCAAGTATTCATTGTGATGGCAGTGGTCTTTGCACTGTTACAAACGGTTGGACTCCTATTTGTTGGACAGCCAATTGAGGTAGGTAAACAATCGATTCCGGATACCTGCTTTTGATGGTGTTAATTTTAAGTTTTCAGCAGCTTTACATTGAAGACGAAGCGATGTTGATGAACAGCCGCGAGAAGTCCACCGCCACACAGTTGAAATCCAGCACCTTTTGGCTATTATTCATATCACTAGCCTGTAACGCACTCTGGGTGCAGCTCGTCAGCGGATTGTACAAGGTTAGTGATTTCTCCGATGTTCTTGAGGCAATGTCCACGCTTATTTTATGGGCGGAGTCCGGCCTACTGCTGTGCCTTAGTCACTGGCGTGCCTTTTTGCATACAGACAGACCCTGTCCTCAACCATGCCGTATGGTTGCTTCAGTGCAAGTAGTCGGGAGCGTAATCGCAAGAACTGTTCCACATCCGCACCTCCAAAATGTGTCACGAAGGCGATGTGGGTTTCATAGTTGCAGTCATACACAGTACATCGTACAATTGCTATCTCAAAAAACGGTAAATCCAGTCCCGCCCACCCGACCAGCGCGGAATGCGCCTATAATAGCGAGAACTCGCGGATATTCTATGCAACAAGGTTATACTCAACAGCATTTACAGGCTGTATGTTGGCAGAATTTTTTGGATCATGCAGACTTCTGCCATTTCGCTACTGCAGGTCAGAAGTAAGAGCCCTGATGCCCTGTC